GACTGTGGAATGAGTGAATGGAAACGTGAGTCGAAATTCAATAGGTAAAAAAACATGAAAGTAGATGAGGAAGAAGATATTAACAAATCATGGATAAGGAAGAAAGCTACAATTGTGTTCCGAGGGTCCCTTAATTCTGGTCTCAATGAGGACGATAGAAGAGACAACAAATTATTAGTGGGTCTATTTGTCCTTGGCTATTAACATCGACTTAAATCGTGGTCTATTTGGATGTGGGTAAAAGTGTTGTTGAATCAAATTATGATTGTTCGGAGGAGTAGAAAACGTCGGGGCCCAACTGTCAAAGTGAGTTGAACTGCATGGTAGTACACTACACTACCACCTCCTGAAGAGGGTTTATTGTCAACGAAAAGTGCACTGCACAGTTACACCAAGTGCTAATGTTGTGCTCTGTTTGAAGCACTTCGTTCACCTTGTTTTAGGAGCCCCAACAAGTGTACTGCTTCATGCGTCTATTTATTTTGGATTTATTCTACACCACCATCCTAAGAATAAATTTGTCACGTTAAAGTTGTATTTAGCCGAAAGTTTGTATCTAAAAGAACCAAGTTCACCAGTAATCCCTCATCTTAGGCTGTGACACCTATATCCTTCTTGTGATGTGGTGACATAAAGACAAGGTGCTATTCGTGTCGACGTGATTCATCTGTTTGCGGCTCCCTGGTTGATGTTTATTTACGTGTCCTGAGCAGTGCAACAAAACATTTGCATGAATGTTTATATTTGTTGGCATTCGCAAATTCGAAGGCGTATATGTAGTTTTAACTGATAGTGTAGATATTGAAATGACGTTGTTGTTGTGCCCTATTGTAGGACTTTTTGGCTCCACTGGTTGTTCACCATCGATTCATCTCCTTCACCCTCTACTGTGCTTGTATTGTCGCCTTCGTGCTGAATCTCAAACGCAAGCATTACCTTAAACAGTTCACCCTCGTAAGTTGTCCTTTTGTTATACAAATTTCGTTGTCTTCATACTCTATAATGATCGACGCAGGTTGGAGTAGTCTTTGACAAGACCAAAAGGGGTGGAAGCAGAGGTTATGAGGGGAGTACTGGCATTAAATCAGGAATGATGTCTGTCGTGCTGTTTTGCGTGTGTGTGTTTGTGTTTGTGTTTGTATTTGTGTGGAAGGGGGGGGGGGCAAACGATGTGTCAATTGGAGAACAGATATGTTGGAGTTTCTTAAGGATGGTCTTTGAAATAAGCCTTCCTTACGACCAATAAAGTAATAGGAAGTTAATGATATGGTTTTGATGTTACTAACCTATCCCCAGTTACAATATTCTTGATGGCTTTTCATATTAGCCCGAATACTAGAGTTTTAGTGTACACTTTTTTTTCAAACATGCTTATGGAAATGATTAATAACAAAAGCGTCACAAGAATAATGTTTACAAATTCCATCACTCTAGGTGCTTTGACGGGAATTTTTGTACTCGAGCTGGGGTAGTATTTGGTCTTTGGTTGTCTGAGCTTAATTACTTGATTGAACTTGGATTTTGGGTGCTGGTCGGTGAAGAAACTCACTGATTAAAGATTTTTTGGAAAGAATGTTTGTATATTTTTGTCGAAATCTAATTCCACGACGTGTTTAAGTCTCACTTGCCACCCCTTCCCCTTGGGAGCAAAGCCTCTACATTTAATTTGTTACTTGATATCGTCTTTCTTATTAACATACCTTCGTTTATTTCCGATCTAATTGATTTAAGACTTTACATTTGTTTGAGGTTTATTCAACGTACCTTTTCTTAACTACCCCTCTTCATATACGTATTTTCTTTGTGCCTAGCCTCTTAACTTTTTGGATGCATTTTTGGTTTTAAAGTTGCGATTTTTTCCATCAAACAGAATTTCATTTTTACCTTAGAAGTAATTAGCTCAAATGGTATAATTCGCATTTTATCTAAATGCACTGCTCCATTTGGATTCATTCTACTCTTCTTATTACCCACGTAGAAATAAATAGGCGAAATGGTAGTGTTCGATTAATTAAATTTATTTTTTGTTTCTTTTGTTAAACCCTGGAGTCATAAAAAATGTTTAAGCTGACTAATTGGAGCAATTTTTAAATAACTCGAATGAATAATGCGGTTGATTACTTGTTGTAACTGGGTTCTACTTAATTGGCATTTTATTAGTAGTGGAAGTTGTATCTTAGGCCTTGGCTAGTTTGCCCTAGCACGTACTTATTTATGCACCTGAACGGAATTTGTCTCCTATGCACTGGACTATCTGTTATGAGTTTTTCATTCTCGTACCTTTTCACTCCCAATTATCTCTATTCGGACATCCAATTACTTCCATATATAACCAAAGGTGTTAAGGCATCCATAATTCCAGAGAAGCATACTTCAAGGCCCGCACCAAATTAGATTTCATATTCTCCCCCAAGAAATTATCTCATGACTTACAGGTTGTAAATCATTTTCCGAATACGATAACCAACACTTCAGTTAGTTGATAGAAATGGAATATGGGATGAAAGGACAATACGAAATGATAAAACCAGACAATACTAGCTACGATATTGCAGTTACTCACCTGCACTCATAGGTAAATAACTATCAATTAGGGTAGAAATGTGATGCAGTAGACACGCTAAACATGGAGTCTGAGGAGGCCTATGAATCAGTGTAGGTCTGTGCTGCAGTGCTTGCAACCTAGCCGTGGTAGTTGAATTGCCATGGGGTCATAGATCATCAGCCTCTTTTTTCTCAGCCTATTGCTTCTCTGTAACCGTAGTAATCTTATTAATTCATTTCACACCCATTAATGCCACAGTAGTAGTGGCAACAGGTTTCTATTTGTCTTTGTCATAGACAGCAAAGAGAATCTTAGTATAGTAGAGATTACTCGGTAGCTCAAATTGTTTATAACTTGGATAATAAACAAATTATGGTATTTTGCTGTAGTAAGTGATATTTTGTTATTGTGTACTTTTTTGTAAAAGTTCAATCTTGTGTCATCGATTCATTTTAGGTTTGCATTTTTGGGGTCAGCTTAGGTTATAGATTCTCACGTGGTTATTACTCCAAATTTTCAGCATTTAAAACCAGACCAGAACAAGTGGAATTAAGTGATCTATTTTGAAGGAATTGAATGAAATGATCTTTTGATTTTCGCTCCGCTGTATGAATGACTGGCTTTAAATGCATCCTTAGATCCTTCCAACACCTATTGGCCATGGTGCCTTTGTGGTTAAATTTGTTTATTAAGTGTACTATAAATGAGATTTCGACATCATTATAAAATAGTGGTCATTTGCCTTTAATGCCGTTTGTTTACCGATTGCTTGGCAAGTAAGTTAACTTCAAAAATGTCATATTGGCTTTTCTGCCATATTTTTTGGTGCGAAGAGCATTTTCTTTGCAACTCTTCTCTTTCATTCATCCTTTAAGCTGTTATCGCTTTGCTGTATACACCTTGGTCTATGTGGAATAAATAGTTGTTTTTTTCATATTTCCAGTTCGGTTTTACCCATGTCACTCTCCTCATCATCGTCTCCTCTTCGCACTTCATGATTCAAAGCATTTTCGATGGGCTCATTTGGTATGTCTTTCTCTAAGTCTCCTTCCAATTCTATTGTTTCTGAAGCAAGCGAGATATACTAACAATTTTTATCTGCCTTTCATTGTATGAAAACTCCTGTAAGTTGTTTTTTAGTCAATCTGAGTTGAATAGTAAAGGGGGTTATCATGTCTAGTTTTGTACATGGATGTGTGTGTGTGTGTGGCGTTACAGTGAGAATATAGGATAATTGAAAATTATTTCCCTATTATGGGTGTGCCTTGACAATACAAGGGCTACAAGGATACAAACATAGCTGGAAAGGAAATCGAAATACAAAGATACAAACATAGCTGGAAAGGAAATTGAAGACATGCTAATCCATGCTAAAAAGCAACATTCTGGAACTTATTTATAGCAATGAAGATCCGGCTACATATCTGCACTACAATGGAACCAGAACAATTCCAGACTTACTCCTGGTTTCAAG